TTGGGGGAAAAAATGGGAAATTTGGGGGAAAAATCGGAATTAAAGGGGTGAAGGAGTGTGGGGAGCAGAGCAGATGTGGAATTTTTGGGAAAAAATGGGAGTTTTTGGGGAAAAAGATGGGAATTTGGGAGGGATCTGGAGGATCCGGGCCTGGTCTCGGCCTACAAGGCCTGGCCTGGAGGGCAGCACCACAGGTACGGAATTTTGGGGGAGAAAATGGGAAATTTGGGAAAAAAATCCAAATTTGGGAGGTTACGGGGCTGGGGGAACTGCAGGTACTGAGAATTTGGGGGAAAAAGTGGGAATTTTGGAGAAAAAATCCAAATTTGGGAGGGATCTGGAGGATTCGGGCCTGGTCTCGGCCTACAAGGCCTGGCCTGGGGGGCGGCACCACAGGTACGGAATTTTGGGGGGGGAAAATTGGAAATTTGGTGAAAAAATCGGAATTTGGGAAGTTATGGGGCTGGGGCCACTACAGGTACCAAGAATTTGGGGGAAAAAATGGGAATTTTTGGGAAAAAAAATGGGAATTTGGGAGGGATCCAGGCCTGGTCTGGGCCTACGGGCTCGGCCTGGAGGGTGGCACCACAGGTACGGAATTTGGGGGTAAAAAATGGGAAATTTGGGAACAAAATGAGCATTTGGGGGTTCTCAGTGGGGTCTGACTTTGGGATTTGGGGATATTTTATGGTGGGATTTTGGGGTCTGGATGAACCCCATGGAATTTGGGGGTTCTCAACGAGATTCCCATGGAATTTGGAGTTTCTCAGTGAGGTTCCCATGGAATTTGGGGGTTCTCAATGAGGTTCCTATGGAATTTGGGGTTCAAATCCTCTTTCCATGGAATTTGGGGTTTTTCAGTGAGGTTCCCATGGAATTTGGGGTTTTTCAACAATGTTCCCATGGAATTTGGGGTTTCTCAGCAAGGTTCCCATGGAATTTGGGGGTTCTCAGTGGGGTCTGGATGAACCCCATGGACTTTGGGGTTTCTCAACGAGGTTCCCATGGAATTTGGGGTTTCTCAATGAGGTTCCTATGGAATTTGGGGTTCAAATCCTCTTTCCATGGAATTTGGGGTTTCTCAACGAGGTTCCCATGGAATTTGGGGTTTCTCAGTGGGGTCTGGATGAGCCGTATGGAGAATTTGGGGGTTCTCAGTAGGGTGTGGATGAACCATATGGACTTTGAGGGTTCTCAATGAGGTTCCCATGGAATTTGAGGGTTCTCAATGAGGTTCTCATGGAATCTGGGGGTTCTCAACGAGGTTCCCCTGGAACTTGAGGTTTCTCAGTGGGGTCTGGCTGAACCCCATGGGGAATTTGGCCCCCCCAAATGTGGATTTCGGGGTGTCCCTCAGGTTCCCCGGCCGAGTTCGTGGTGAACACATCCAAGGCGGGCCCGGGCGCTCTGGCCGTGACCATCGAGGGCCCCTCCAAGGTGACCATGGAGTGCCACGAGTGCCCCGAGGGCTTCCGGGTCAGCTACACCCCCATGGCCCCCGGCAGTTACCTCATCGCCATCAAATTCGGGGGGCCCCACCACATCGTGGGGAGCCCCTTCAAGGCCAAGATCACCGGTGAGTGCTGGACAAGGGGGTCCAGGGGGTTTAAAGGTGATTTGGGGGGTTTAAATGGGGTTTAAAGGGGATTTTGGGGGTTTAAAGGGGATTTGGGGGGGTTTAAATGGGATTTAAATGGGATTTGGGGGGGTTTAAAGGGGATTTGGGTGGGATTTGGGGTCCCACCACATCGTGGGGAGCCCCTTCAAGGCCAAGATCACCGG